TTATTGGAAGAATTTTCGAATACTTTGTTTAATAAATGCTTGCATACATATATTGGAAAGGAAGGAGTATAAAAATTTTGGTAAAATTCATATAATATATAATTAACATTTTGTATCGAAAATGTATCCCGGACTGAGGAAAATTATAAATTACAAAGGAGAGACTCTACCGAAATTCAAAAGATTGTCACTATAACAATAAATTCAAGAATTTTTCGTCAAGGTACGGTAATATTTATTTATTACAAATTTATATGATTTAGATAAAGTTTATATGAATTTAAGTATGACGTTGCATTCTGCGCATCCGTGCAACTGCGCAGGTTCGTTTAATTAACAGAGACGCCATATTTTATTAGTACGAAATATATTTGAATTTTTAATAACAGGCTTCCAAAGTTACAATTTTTATAAATTTGTTGTATTACGAAATAATTATATATATGTGATGATGAAATATATTTGATAATGAATAATACCTTAAATATGTATCAATTGAATGTTTTATATTTTTAATATGACTACACCGTCAACGATGAAATATGGAATACACATCCTACGATTCTCGAACATATCGATATTTTTCATGATCGATTTTTAAACGAGAAGTATGGCGGAAGGAAACACACCTCGTCTGTAAAGAAGAAAGCGTTATTCAGAAAAATCATTCAAAAAAAGTGTTATTTAGATAAAGGTATGATTCAGAAGTTTTCAGATAAAAATTTAAATCAGTAGTTCTTAGATTTGCGTTTGTATTCTGTATTTTTAAAATAAAACGTGCATTTTTGGCTTCAGCTAAGATTTAACCAAATAATTATTGCATATAATTTTCAACAATTAAAGAAATGGTGGAAAAATTCAGGAATTTCTCTTGAATTTTATATATTTGATTTAGACCAGAGTTTTTTTTTATCTTATTTCAAGGTTATTATTTCGTGTGAAACGTGCGACGATAGCGCCAACGGAGAAGTAGGCAGCACACATCCTCGAACATATCGATATTTCTCATGATCAGTTTTTAAATGAGAAATATGGCGGACGGAAGCACATCTCGTCTGTAAAGAAGAAAGCATTATTCAGAAAAATCATTCAGAAAAAGGTATGATTCAGAAGTTTTTAGATTAAACATTTAAATCAATAGTTGTTAGATTTG